AACCCCCGGGGGCAGGGAAGGCGGTGCTGAGCTGCTCTGGCTCCTCTCTGAAGATGCTGCAGCTGTGACGCCACAGGGATGCAGCCAGGAGGGGAAGAGCCCCCCCAGCTTTGCCCTCCCCCAGCACCCACAGCCGCCTTCCCGTTAAGCCCCCAGGCCGAGCTGTGCAGCAAAAATGAGCCTGCAGCACCTCCGGGGGGGTCCCAGCCTCCTTCCCCACCTCCCCATCGCTCCTGGCTCCGGGGCTGACCCTGCTGGGAGCTGCAGGGGCTCTGTGAAGGGTGACCCCGGGAGTGGGGGTGTGGCCGTGCCCCCCAGCAGTTGTCCCTCCACCCCTGATCGATGCAGCCCGGCATTAACATAAAATCGATGCCCCCTCCCCTGCCCAGCCTGCAGTCACCCCGCAGCAAAACCCTTTAACCCCTTCGCCCCTCCTGGGGCACCCACGTAGGGAGAGGAGGGAGGGACAGGATGGGGGTCCCTCCCTTCAGGTCCCTGCAACCTCGGGCCCCACCCGCTGTCCCCGAGAGCTTTCACACTCACGACGCCGAAGGGGAAAACTGGGGACAGGCTCTGGTGACATGCCCGTGGTTGCCCGGGGATGGTGGTGGCACAACCGCATGGAAAAGCACGTGGCTGAATCCACGTGGATCCCCCGGGGCACGGCAGGGTCAGCACAAACCCTCTGCCTCCGCCCTGACCCGCTCCTGCCACCGGGACTGCTGGGGACAAGGGACCTTGGCTGGGGACAAGGCGGGGTGGCATCGCTTCCAGTCGGGAGCTGGACAGAGGAGGGTGGGATCAGCCCCTCTGAATGCCCAAGCTGGCAGGAACGGGCAGGGGTGGGCAGGAATGGGCAGGAACTGGCAGGAAACGGGCAGGAATGGGCAGGAACCAGAAAGGAATGGGCAGTAACAAGGCGGGAATGGGCAGGAACCAGGAGGGAATGGGCAGGAACAGGCAGGGATGGGTAGGAACAGGCAGTAACAAGGCAGGAATGGGCAGGAACCAGAAAGGAATGGGCAGTAACAAGGCGGGAATGGGCAGGAACCAGGAGGGAATGGGCCAGGAACAGGCAGGAACAAGGCAGGAATGGGCGGGAACAGAGACGGAGTCAGGGCTGGGTCTCAGCTGTGTGTGCCAAATACCAGGGGGTGCTGGTGACAGTGGGGTGCCCCTGGAAGTGTCCCCCGGTGTCCAGCCCCAGGCGTGGGGTGGCCGGAGCCGATGGCCACAATCTGGCACCGGGGCCGTGCCCGTGGCCACCTGGTGCCAGCCGAGTCCTGGCCCTGCCCCACAATCTGCTCTGCCCCCCCCCAGCCCCGGGCAGGCTGCCACCCTGCCCAACCAGGCCTGGCCAGGGGCCTGGCCCTTCCCCAGGGATTCTTCCCCGGGATGGGGAAGGGGGGGGAGGCATTTCCAGCCCTCCTCTGCTCCACGCCCTTGTGCCCAGGGATCTGCAGCCTGAGGGCAAAGCAGGAGCTGGGAGATGTCCAGAGGTACCCAGGGATGGTGGTGTGTCCCCAGACCCCCTGTCCCCAACCCCTTGGTGTGTCCCCAAGCCTCTGATATGTCCCCAACCCCTCTGTCATGTTCCCAAGCTCCCTGGGATGTCCCCAAACCCCCTGGTATGCCCACAACCCCACTGGCATGTCCCCAAGCCCTGCTATGACCCCAGACCTCTTGTTACATCCCATAAGCCCCCTTGTATGTCCCTAAACACCTCGGCATGTCCCCAAGTCCCTTTGTATATCCCCAAACCCCCCTGACGTGTTCCCCAAACCCCTGGTATGCCCCCCAAGCCCTCTGGTATGTCTCCAAACCCCCCTGGTATGTCCCCCAAGCTCCCTGGCATGTCCCCAAACCCACTGACCTTGGCCCTGTGCCCCCCTCCCCACCTGCCCAGGGCCTCCTCCCCTAGCCTGACACCCCCCCAAGCCCAGGGCCAGTCCCCTCTTCCCACCAGTGCTGGGGAATTCATTAACCGGCCACAGCTGGGCCCTGCTGGGGAGGCCAAGCTGCAAGGAAAATTAACCTCTTCCTGCCCAGCCTCCCAAGCCTGGGATCCCCCCCACTGTCACAGCTGGCAGAAGAGGATGGTCCCCTCTCAGGGGGTGCTGGGGGGCTTTGCTTCCCAGTGCTTCCCAATCCAGGCTTTTATTTGCAAGGGAAGTTGGTGTGTCCCTTCCCCACACAGCCTGGGAGGGCAGGGGGGGCTTTCTTTGCTCACCCCCATGGAGCCCCTCAAGCCTGTGTGCCCTGGGGTTGGAGGGGGTGAGGGTTCATCACTCAGTTCTGGCTTGGCTGAACCTGGGAGCCCCCCTGCCCAGGAATGGGTGCCCCCACCCCAAATCTTGCTGTTCCCCCAGGCCTCAACCACCCCCCAGCCCACCCTGCAGGGTGACCATCTCCCCCTCTCCCTTGGGAGGGAGGGGCAGAAGGACCCAGGCTCCCCCCCCAGCTCGTTAGAAAGCTTTTATTTCTCTCTATTTACAGACTTCATTAAAAAAAATAAACAACAAATCCCTCCC